AAAAACGATTTATTTGAAGTTTTTAAGAAAAGAAAGAATATTAGATGAAGCTGATCTCAGTTTGTTACTACCTTGGATTAAAATCGTGGATATTTAATATCATTTACAAATTAACTATCTTTGCCATATTGAAGCAAATAATGAGTCTTCTGGAAATAAAGGGACTAATGTGAAAATAACTGTGTTTGTTGATTATTAATATTTTAACCCTTGTGTTCGTACATTTTTTCTCTTCCACAAAAAGTAAAATTTTGTAGTAATCTGTCATTCTTCAGAAATGCAGCTAAATACTGTAAAGTGTGATGCATTTAAGGAACAAAAGAATAAATAAGAACAGCACGGTGGTTAGCACTGTTGCCGCACAGCAAGAGTTCAATTTCACCATCAGGCCGGGGTCTTTCTGTGTGGAGTTGACATGTTCTCCCCGTGGGTTCCCTCCGGGTATTCTGGCTTCCTCCCACCGTCCAAAGACATGCAGCTTGTGGGGATAGGTTAATTGATTAATCCAAATTGCCCATAGGTGTGAATGTGAGCGTGAATGGTTGTTTGTCCCTGCGACGGACTGGTGACCCGTCCAGGGTGTACCCCGCCTCTCACCCTATGACAGCTGGGATCGGCTCCAGCGTCCCCTGCAACCCTGAAAAGGATAAGAGGAAGCGAATGGATTGAAAAAAAAAAATCAGTCACTTAGTTGAACCATAAGATTCCTCTTTTTCAGACTGGAGTATAACTGTGCATGCAATCATGCCTAGCTTTTCCATTTCTTTGAAAAAAATAGTGATGGGGACTGTTTTGTAATTTTAATAATTTGGAATTAAAAAAATATTCTCACCCTGCAAAGAACATCCACCAAAGGAAGCTCAGCAGTCTCGTGATACCATCTTTTAACCTTTTAAAGTTGGGTTTTATTGTTCATCAATAACACAGATTCACCTCAGTAAGTAACACAGACTCTTTGCCTTAAAACTTCCTTCCTGTATTTTCCAATGGGTGAAGATAACATCTAATAGATGTCAAGCTCATTTTATATCAAGGGGCACATACAGCACACTTTAATCCTAGGTGGGTGACCGGCAGTGTTGGTCAAGTTACTTGAAAAAAGTAATCAGTAACTAATTACTGATTACTTCCCCAAAAAAGTAATCCAGTTACTTTACTGATTACTTATTTTCAAAAGTAATTACTTAGTTACTTAGTTACTTTTTAAAAACACGATTTACAACCTGAA